GTATTCGGTAGTGGAAAGCAGGTGGCTGTAGGCAGGATCTTGGGGACAGCAGTGAAGCTTTAACCTCTAGAACTATTAGATGTTATAAATTATTCATCTCACCTTTGACCGTCCTGAAAGGATAATTTGTGCATGTTGGTGCAATTCTAAAAACAACAAACAGACAAAAGCCCTGATAACATACTGCTGATATGTGGCGTAGAGGGATCTTAAAATAATCTTTATCCAGGGATTAAGAGTTTCTGATCTAGCACTGACCTGTTTTCAGAGTATTACAAATTCATGGCACTTGCAAAAACAAGACAAAAAGACTATAAAACAAGGGAAAAGCAGATTTACGGCAGCATAAGTAACCAAGGTAGGTTGCATTGATGAGGAAACTTAAAACTGGAAATCATGCTTGATGAAACCTTTTTTCTAGTCGAGAACCCAAAGCATGCTTGGGAATCTGCACATAGAAAGTGGCTGGGCCTTTTAAGCCATGTGTGAAAATGTTTATTTCCATTAGGAGTGAAAAATGCAGACCTCCAGATGCCCTCTATAATTTCTCCCCCCTGAAGGAGGAGGAGCCAGGGTGAGATGGAAACACAAACCCTGCTCTAGTCCTTGAGCCTAAATTAATGCCGCTGTTTTTAAGGGCCGAATAAACATTGGGAGTGAATGATTTCTGTGCACAGAAAGCCAGGGAAACTTATGCTGACACCACTGACTTTGTGAACAAGAAGAAAGTTGTGTATCTCTAGGACTATGGCCATCTGAGGTGGTTAATCATTACTAGATTCATATGGGAAAAAAATAATGATTAAAGCAAATTAAGGGCCAGAAAGTGATTTTTCTTTCATTGCCCAACAGTAATATGTGGGTTTGATTATTTGTTTTGGCCTGAGCTAGGGGTTTTTTTGCATATAGTAATAGAGTTAGCATGAAATTTCATCTTTGGTTTGAAGTGCCTGACATCTATATCAAATGATAAATAACACAGACTTTGGCTAGAAGTTCAGTATTTCGTAATTTTGTCTGTAAAAACATTTTCCGTGGTTGATAAGGGAAATATGAGACACCAGAGCAATAAATTTCATGCTCGTCTTTGCAGTAAAATAATAATCACTTGGGTAATACAGTCTTTTTTTATATATATACATGTCAAGGGGCCTCTAGCTACAAATGTGAGCTGGCTGAAGTGTGGAATCCTCACGTTGTTACCCTTGAACACCCGCACTGGAGTGAGCAGGACCTTGCCTTAATGTGGGTTGACGAAAGCAGCCTTTACACACTGTGAAAGATTTGCAGAGGGGTGATAAACCCTCGCAGACTATGTGGAGGGTTGCACTCCAGCCTTACGGGCGGCTTGGAATTATTGTCGGATGAGCTTAACTTCCAAAAACAGTCCAGAGATTTGGTAGTGGAGAAACCCAAGGATGCAGCTGCCAGCGTGGTGAGGGGTGATGGCTGCGAGCGGGGCCAGCCTCGGGGTGTGCCAGCAGGGCTGAAGGAGCCCAGCTCAGCTGGTGGGGGGTCATCAGGATCTGTTGAGGGAGCACTTCATGCTCCATCTCTTGCTTTGATCCCTCTGGGGATGTCCACTTCTCAGTCAGAGAAATCTGGGCTCTCAGATCCTCATGAATAATAAAGTATTTTTAGAATCATACAGGTACGAACACACTGTTGGAGGGGAGAAGACCCTTTGAAAGGGTCAGTGTCCATGTAGTCTATAATGTGACACTGCAACGTGTGCAGTTGTGTTCTTCCATTTTCCTGGTATGTTTGTGTCCAGGGCTCAGTTTGGGCAGGCTTTTAATAGCAATTGGGAGTGAGATGAAAGTGCCAGCAAGCAGCATGTTCAGTGCCTGGGCATGGAGCGGCCACTCGAGTTTATTTACAGGACTACCTTACACGTTTTTCAGAGCAGCCACACCAACCCCAGTTTTCTGCCTTCAAAGCATGAAGACGTCATGGCAACACCACCATTTCCACCCAGTTACTCATCTGACAGGAGATTCTTGTCTAGCATGTGAAATTGTAGAAGCCCACAGCTGGCAACTATAAATTCCCGCCTTAATGGGCCATGTCAGACATGCAGCACAGGGCAGCTCTGCTGGGAGGGAACCTGAGACAGGATGCCTGAGGGAGGAGTGTTTCCATGCAGCACTGGCCGTGGGGAGAAAGCATTTGTGTATTTGGCAGGGAAAAGGGGCCTAAGTGGTCCTTCAGGCCTCCCTTCAGGTCTTTGCAGGGAACACCCTGCAAAGAGGGGCAGCAGAGGGGCTTTGCAATAATGCAGAATCGGGTTCCCCAAGTACATGGTCCCTTGGTGGTCACTCGCAGAAAGTGCCTGTAAAAGACTAGAATGAGATTTTGTTCTTGTCTGGCCTATCACAGGTTTAAAAGTTATGTTATTCACTCTCCCAAACTTAACCAAAGCCGTGGTCGGTTGGGTAGCTGACTGATTGCTTACTTCAGAGCTGTCCAGATGTAATTGTTCTAACTCACAACAGATTCTTATTTAATTGTGGTTCCCTTTTGCTGTATAATGTTTACCGAGGTGATCAATTTGCTGTTGTTCTGGTACAGACATTCACTACCAGTTGCTGTTGCTACTTTCAGACATTTTGAGGGTTTTTTGGATCTTTATTCCTCCTTTTTTCCCCCCTCCTGTGTTTGCCTTTCCTGCACTATGACTTGCAGCCCTGGTTTGGGCAAGGGGAGCTGTTGCCTCCCGTCCTGCCCATGTTGGCACCAGCCTATGCTGTGCCTGTCGTTAGTTATACTACTCCTCTTTTTTATTCCAAGACGTGGAGGGGTGCATCTCTCTCCAAATGCTGAGCGTTCTCTACATCTGTGTCACAAATAAAGGAGGAAGCAGTAATGCTTTCTGCTATTGATTTAATAACCTGTTCAAAGAAGTACAGCAAAGCCCCTGGAAAAAAAAGTTACTGAGAATTTGTGGTGTTAAGTTCTTGAAACATAAAACCAGGACCGGGTTCTGCCTCGAGCTCCAGTGTTCAGCACAGAGGGTCGGCAGCATTTATGAGGGGAAAAATGCTTTATTTTGCAGGCACCAAAGGTTGCAGTCACTTTCTGAATGCTTTATATCTGACAGGTCATCTGTAGGTTCAGCTGGTGCTTTTCTCTATCCAAATGATGATTAGAGAAGACTTTAGATAATTTAAAGCACTAAAAGTCAGCTGATCTAAAAAGAGTTCTGTGAAATACGGTTTAGAGTAGTCGGGAAATTAATCACTTGGAGAACCCCTGGCGTGTTCTGTCTTTTGAACCTTCTCATAATTCCTCTGAGTTCTGCCAGGAAATCAGAGGGGGAAATCCTAGTGTAGCTAAATTAAGAGAAGATTGTGGATTCTACCCCACAGCTGAATTGCCAGTGGCATGCACAGTGTTCAGTGAAGAATTGCCAGGCAGACTTGTATCTGTGATTAGCATTTCTCATGAGCAAGGACTTTGCTGTTGGGCGGCACTGGTGAGAGGCTGCACACTCCTCGGGCAGCTTTCTCCTGGCCTTCCAGGAGTCTGGAAGATGACTGTCCACTTCAAGTGCACCCCAGCAGTGAAATAAGAATGGCTTTATTGGGTTTTCCAAGCGCAGTGTTAAACTCACAGCTGGGCTGTGCCGGGTGTTGGTGATGGGTGAACACAGCACTGCCAGAGCAGGAGGCAGAGGGCACAGGAGGGGGGAACACAGCCGTGTTCCTGCTGGGAATATCTGGAGGTGCCCATGGCGGCCTATGGTCTGGAAGGACATGCATGTTTTGGAAGGTGGTTACTCTGTCAGACAGTGAAATCCTGTGTGTGCCCCACATCAGTGATGAGGGAGCAAGCGGGCAATGGGAGAGCGGTCGGAGGTGACCAGAACAGCTGCACACACTCCTGCTCTCTGCTTGGCCTGCAGCAGTGTCCTCTGAAACATCAGCTTTTGCACTTTCCAAACAGATTAATCAGTGTGTCTCTGATGCAGCAGGTTTATTTTCAGACACATCTATAAGTTGAGTTTTTTTCTGCTGTTTAAGAAGTACCATCAAAATAGACCTTTTGCAAGAAATTGTCTCCCTGTTAACAGCAGATTTATGGCTACTGGCCAATACTGTCCTAATAATGTATCGTGTTAAAAATTGGTATTTATGTATCAAAAAATGCTTTAAAAGCAAGTAAATTAAGTACCATGTTGATATAAATGTCAGTGAAAATATCTGACCTAAAGTTCATTAATATTCAAAAGAAACTTCTGAGAATGTGGTAGACGAAGGACTGCATAACAGCTATACATTGCCTAAATTTTTTTCGGAAAATATATACCTTAAGCATTTCAGCAGTTGAAGTCCAGCTTGGGAGAACCCATAAAATTATATTAATATATAAGAAGAAATGTAAAACTTGGGTTACTTACTTAAGCTGTTCTTCTTATTGTTCAGGTGACATTTTTTTAACCCACAAGAATTAAATCTACAGTTCTGGATTGGACCTTGTGTGGCCCAGAACAGCTCACGTAAATTTTAGTCATTACTAAACAAATAAAACCTTGCTTTCTAAAACTTAAGAGTAGGCAGTGCCCTCATCTTAGCAAACAGTTCTTCCTAAATGTAAAAAAAACCAACCCATAGATTCTGCTTTTTGTTGCACATGCTGGGGGCTCTCCCTCAGCCCTTGTGTTGTTCTGTTCCCTACCACAGCAGTTTACCAGGTCCCTGTAAGGTTTATTTGCCTGCTGGCACGTGCAGTTTGTTGTCCGGGTATCTCATGTATGAACAATTCCTTGAGATCAAAAGCTTTTGCAGAGAACAACCACGAGCAGCTCCTTGCTCAAATACTGGCCTCAATTCTTTATCCCATTCTCAGTGTAATTATAGCCCCAAAATTGCAAAGTAGGAGTGGGAGTTCGTACGAATATTTGTAGGACTAAGAGAGGAAAAATCGAATGCCAAGTTCTGTGCTACGAAACGGTAGGAAAGCCTCTGTGGTAGTTTTTAACTGAAATATTTTAATTTTAGGAGCAGGTCCCTGTTCCTGTGTATCACCCAACTCCAAGCCAGACCCGGCTGGCCACACAGCTGACAGAAGAAGAGCAGATCCGGATAGCGCAGCGGATAGGCCTCATCCAGCACCTACCTAAAGGAGTCTATGATCCCGGGAGAGACGGCTCCGAAAAGAAGATCAGAGAGTAAGTCCCAGTCACACGTGGCTGTTGCCTTGCTTTGTGACACTGCCCTGGGAAACCTGATCTTGCCATTCTGTTTCTGCCTTCTTTTCGGGGGCTGTAGTTTAACGCAGCTTTCTGAAAAAGGAAATGGCCATGCAGAAGGCTGATGTTATGAGTGGCATCCCTGCCTGTGATAGTGGGGTGGAATTCAATGAGCTTTAAGGTCCTTTGCAACCCAAACTATTCTGTTATTCTAAGGCTTTTGCCTTTCTCCTATGCAAGGATACTCCTCACAGTACCTACAAATACTAAAGTCATCCAGGAGTAGATAGTACACTATTTTTCATTTCCAGTTTGGTAACAGCAGCTTCAATATTTTATTTTTTTTCCCCCCCCAGATGTGTCATTTGTATGATGGACTTTGTTTATGGGGACCCTATCCGATTTCTGCCGTGCATGCACATTTACCACCTGGACTGTATAGATGACTGGTTGATGAGATCCTTTACCTGTCCATCCTGCATGGAGCCAGTGGATGCAGCACTGCTTTCATCGTATGAGACTAACTGAGCCAGGGTTTCTCTACTGAACCTCCAAGGAGACCATCCACTTCAATGGGTTTGATCCTTTTGTCATTCAGCCCAAAGAGCCAGGAATTAGGAATTAAGATCATGCACAAAGTATACATTTCCTAATAAATAAATAAAAAAAAAATATTCCTGAATGGCTGCAAATATTGGAAAACATAGTATTTTAGAGACTATAGAAAAGTAGGTTGTTATTTTTAATGTAAAGCCTTGACCCACCATTGTCTTTTAATGTTTGTTCTTACACCCATATATAGGAATTGTGTAAAGTGTTACAGCAACTGTAAATGTTTAAACTGCGTGTATCCAATTTTATTAGCAGCAAGATAAGAGTATTTTTTTCCTAAATAAAGTAACCAGTTTTGTTCTGATTCTTTTCACAAGTCCTGGCATTTGGGTCAAGGCTTTATTGAAATCTACATTTTATAACACTGGCACAAAGAAATAGTTTTAAGCTTGTTTGCACAGTTCTTTTTCTTTTTTTTTTTTCATTGGAGATGGAATTCATTGCCTTAGGTCTTTTTAATAGTGTATTGTTATTGTTGGGCTGGCTCTATGCTTGAAAACCAGTTTATTTATAACCTGTTAAAAGTGCTATATTTTGTTTGCAGTTAGGAATATGCAGACTTCAAAGTGATCTCCTAGCTTGTAAGCAAACTGAGATGCATTATCCCTTTTCTACTAGTGATACAGAATATGAAGATGTAAGACCTACAGTGAAACTATGGTTTCATGGGTTTTTATAACTTCCTTTGGTTTTGATGAAATAACAGTCCTTAAACTTTAATATGTGACCTTTAACTTGATCAGATTAAAAGTGGGCCGGATGAACAATAAATAGTTAAGCTGCCATAACTGGAAAAAAAAATATATATTTGGAACTAATGTAGTGTTAGTATTGATCACTTATTCTACTTTTTTCTCCCTAAAGATGGTTGTCTTGGATCATAGCAAATGGATACTGCATCTCTCGTTCTTGTAGTCCTTAGGTTATCAGAAGTTAAGAATAAACATACTGTATCTCAGTCTCCTGTATTAAATGTATCTGTTGAGCCCTGCTGGCTGACACACCAGTCCACCAAACAGGAATGAACTCATAGAGGAGAGAATTAGACTTTGTTCTGCACATAAATGCAAAGTTTATATAAACCCAGACTGTCAAGAGTAGCAGTGGAGGGGGCAAACAGTCCTGCTATAGCCAGAATGACACAATTAGCTGGTTCCTGTAGCAAACAGTATGTGCTTGTTAAGAGAGGCTCTGGCAAAGATTGTAGCTGTAAAGACCTTTTTCCACTAAGCATGACTTTTTCCTTTTTTCTTCCCCCCCTTGATGTACCTACTGTGACCTTTATACATTCAGTGCCACCCTGATACAGTGAGAAGCAATCTCAAGTTAACCACAGCAAATTGGGGATGTTCTTGATTGTGTTTCAGCTACAGTTTGAGTACTTGATACAAAAAATTGTGTTTAACAACCCAAGTCCTCTGTGGACTTACTGCATTTACAGTGTAGGGGAATTGTGCAGGTTACGGATAACTGGTCAGCAAAATGGAGTCAACATGTTTGTTTGTTATCCCTGCAGCTGGCAGCACCCTGCTCCCTTAGAGAAGAACTCCAAGGAGCAGTCAGAAGGAACTGAAAACACTCTGCAGTTCTAGATTCACTCAAATGGCCACACATTTATCTATTTATCTGGACACAATGTTTTGCTGAATTCATACATACTTAATTACATGGATCAAAATCTGGGAAGAGAGACCTGAAGTTGTGCAATATCATTGTTCCTTTTCATCATTCCATGTGTGTTCCTTTGTGTCCTCCTTTTTTGTCTGTTTGTTTCGGGGGTTGGGTTCTTTTTTTTTTTTTTGGTATAACAATGTCCACATTAAGTATTCATTTCTTTATCTTGTTAAAACTGGCAAATGAACAATTTGAAAAAAACAGTGTTGTCATGGTGGTATTAGTCTTTATTTATTACAAGACTTGATTAAGAAAGATTTAAAAGAAAGGAAGTGATGGATTACTGAGCTGAATGCTTTCCTAGGCACTCTGTACAGCTGAACTTTTAACACTGATACCCTTACTGGGCTAAGGGAAGAAATTCCTTTCATTAAAATACTTGTTAAATAGCAAAAAGGTGTGAAGGGCTAAACCTAGAGCAGATTACACAAAAACATTCCAAAAAGTTTAAATTTTACCTTAAAGACAAATATGTAAATATAACAAATAAATCAAATGATTTTTCAAGTTTTTAGGTGCAGTGCTGTTCTGGATGATTTGTAATTCAAAGAAGAACTGATTTGAACTTAATGCAAAATAACATATAACCTTAATTTTAGCTACAGTTGTGGAACCAGAACCGTGTCTTAATTCTACCATCTATAAGATGATTTACCTCCTGTCTCAGAGTAGTCTGATAAATTACTCACACTTCAAACACATTAAGTCCAGTTACAGCACAGCTGTTTCCCAACCAGAGCCTGCTGGGAAGGGCTGGCTCTGACTCACCTGAACCTCTTCACCCATAGCCCTTCTTATGCCAGGGCTGTATGTTTTGGGGTGGGCAGGCCCATAGGAAAATGCCTGCAAAGTGATTTGAAGGAAAAAACCAACAAAACAAAAACCCCTCTTACAGCTACTGTGTGCAACCAACCTGAGTTTGTAGATACCTCTTGCATGCTACAGGAGTTACCACTTTAATCATTTCACATCTAAGGATGATAATCCTCATTACCTGTTGGCAGTTCATTATGTAAATCTGGGAGAGAATCATAAAATACATAAACAAGCAAAAAAAGCCAGCCCAGAGAATTTCTTCGTGAGGAGCTAGTGGTGTAGAAGGGCTTGAGCCACAAAAGGGTTTAAAAGTTCCTGCAGTTCCCCAGGGCTGAAAGCAATTCCGTGTTTGGAAGGCTGACAGTGTCCTTTTGCAGTGGCAGGAGGGTACATTTCTGGGATAAGGGATTAGGAAATACCTGAACTTACTTCAGTTGCCACAGTTTCAGGGCTTTGACATTTCCTGTCCTTGTGCAATCGTGGTAAAGATGAAGATTCCTTTGAGTTAGAGTGTCAGTAAAATAAGTAACAACATGGCTGAAACCAAATGTACAGGGCCTCTCAGCAGTTAAATCCTGGATTAAAATGGACTCAGAAACAAAGTGGATGCCAGCTGATATAGACACAGTTTGTTACAGACACCACATTTTATTAAAAGCATACATTCTAGCTGACAACCTATAAAACACATGAATAAAGTCTGTTCAGAAGAACCCTTCTTGACTTAATACCCAGAATAAAAATTAGTTTCAAGGATTAACTTCTGCTTTTATATAGCACTTAACTTTGAAGAATATAATTTATGCTAACCATCCTTTGCAGATTATCTCGCATTTAAACCTGTTCTGGGATAAGAGTTCAAGGGCTTTGGAAGCCTTGGTGTGAAATGCAAAGTTAATGCCTTGTGATAAAAGAACAGTTTAAACATACTCTGCAAAAGCATCTTTTTGATTTAAGCAAAAGAAATAACTACATTTTCATGCTAGCAACTGATTTATTACAACATCCACTCTGCACTGATACTTTGCTAAGAAAAGCTGCAGAGAGGAGTCTATAATGAAAAAATTCTTTGTGCAAAAGGCTGTCTGTGTTCCCAGCAGCACAGAGGTATGTGCTTACTCAGCAAGAGGGGCCCAGCCACACCAACTGCACACAAAGAGCCCCCAGCCCTCCCCTGTCCTCTCAGTTGGAAAACAAGCAGCAGTAACTTCATAAACCTGTTCTTTGCAGCACCAACCCCTCCAAAACATTTGTCTTTATTTCAAATAAGGCATTTCAACACCTCTGCTCACAACAGGGAATGTTCCATTCACCACACACAGCACTTTTCCTGGCCCCACTTTTAGTCCCCAGATGCACTTTGGTCGGGTTCTCACTGCACAGTGACAGACAAACTTTTCAAAAAGCTTTGGCTACAGAGCCTGCTACCACTGTGAGTATGCATACAGAGATGTTTTGTGTATATCTATATATGCTTTCTGTGTGTGTGTGTGACAGATCAGACATTGACAGACCTTTAGCAAAGGCACCATACACGGAATTCCTGCTGTTCCTTAGAAATACCAAGAAGTATTTGCACCAGTGATGAGCCCAGCATCAGAGAATGGAAACCTAACCCACGACCCAGGTATGCACAAGCCATAAGAACAAAAGCCAAAGCAAATTTTTCACAGTAACAATCAAACCATTGGAATAATCTCCCCAGAGACGTGTTAGATCCCCTAACACTGGACACTTTCAAGATTCAGCTGGACTGAGTGCTGGGCCACCTTGCCTGGACTGGGCTTTTGGCAAGAAAGGTTGGACCCTGAGGTCCCTCCCAACCCGCTATTGTATCATTCTACGACTGAAATACCAAAACACTAACTGTCCCTGATGTCTGCTTCTAAAAATAACATCTGCAGCTGCCCAACAGAGGCTGTGCAACCTTGGGAGCGATGACAGCAGATGAAGATGACATTGAACATGATCCCTGTGTTCTGTGACCCTCCAGAGTTGCTTCACCTCCCCACAATGATTTACTGAGCTCCGCTGACCGTCAGAGATACAGGAGCAGAGGCAGCTTCAGGCACCTCACACCAGCACCTTCACCAAAACCCCAGGAAAAGCACCACGTTCACAAGCACCAGCTCATTGTAGAACTGCACCCGGGACATTGTGGACACCGAGCAGGGCCCCCAGGGCTCCAGCACTGCAGGCAAGCAGCCTGGAGAGCTCCTGCACTAAGGAAGTTGTTCCTCACCTCCACACCCTGTGTGCTGCAGGATAAAAGGAAGTGAGAGGAAAACTGCCCAGAATATTGCAGCCTCTACTTATCTTCTCTTTCTCACCACATCACTATGGTACTTTTAGGCCACAGACCTAAAACTGCTGTTGCTGTACTTGTCTAACATGAGATAAACTTTTTTCTCTCTTTTTTTTTTAGTTGAATCAGCCCATAAAGAACACACAGGGGGTTATGACCGTTCTGTTTTGTATTCTTTCTGTAAAATAGTCAAGGAGAGAGAAAGCAGGTAGGCTTCACTGCAGTGCATAATTCTAAATAAACATTTAGCCAGCAATGAAGGTAAGTAGGTCTACAGATTTAAAAACCCCGGAAAATAATGAAGCCCAGTCCTACAGAGGCATGGTTGAATTTGAGCAAACACCATGCAGAACTTTACCACAGTGCAATGCAGGTATTTATTAGCTCTGTGCTGTTCATAAGTCTTGGAGACAGGGATTGACTGGGCATGTTTTTAAATGAAAGTATTTGTGACTTTTTTTTTTTAACACCTGAAGCAAACCTAGATAGCATCTTAAAGATGCTTTAAGATGACAAATCATTCAATTAAAACACTTGCTGGTACACGCTTTGCACATAATCTACCACCAAAATGTATTTGCAGAACATAATGAGAAAAGAAGCAAGTTCATTTCTAGTCTGTTCAGGTTTCCCAATCTCGTTCATCAGTGACGTTGCCAACCATTAACCACTTTCCTGTACAGCAGTAAACAACATGACTCACCTCTTTATCTTCTCCTCTTCCTCCCAGAGGGCGAACTGAGTTGAATGTGTTGCTTTGGTCATTTCATACACATTTGCTTTGCTGCCATGTTTTTATGCTTAAGAAGGCAAAGAAATGCATCTTGCAGGTGCATCTGGAGGCTGAGTGTTGTATTTAAAGCCATGAGAGTGCTTTTGTATTCTGGGGCTGACCTCTAGGAAAGCCTTGTCTCCTACAGAAGAGCATTGCTTGATCCTTCTGTTCTGCCAGAGGCACACAAGCTGTCACAGCTGTCAGCCCATGAGCTTTTAGTAGCCTTGGACCTAGGCTGTAGATAACTAAAAATACCAAGGCACTCAGTATAGAATTTAATTCCAAAACCAGTGTGAAATGGGAGGAAACGCTTGATATGATCCTGCTCTATGCTGCTATATTTTATAAAATGCAGTTTCCTAAGCCAAGTTTTGAATGTGTAAACAACCT